TGTGAGCACGCTGTGTCAAGCTGTAAATTGTAATCTCGACCAATAGCACACAAGTATGCTGCCAACACAGACTCATCAAGGGTGAAAGTTCGGAAATCACGCTCCGGGAAGTCAAGGGGGGTGGGGGGGTCCCGGGGGGTACCGTTGTACACGCTTCTGGCTAAGGAAAACGACTACCCTAAGGACACTGTGACAAAAATGTAAACCCAGGCACATCCGGGAAATCCTGAACCCCAAAAAATGAAATGTAGCAAAAGTGTGACTTAAAAGAAGCACCCCCATAATCAGCCTATCACGATCATTTACACTGACAAAATTTCCCCTGGGTCGGCATCGACCTAGTGAGGGAAGTCAACAAAGTTGGTCAACGACTACAGCACTACAAAATTTCCCCTGGGTCGTAGCCAACTTCGCAGATAGTTGAGAAAGCGTAGTCGGCTTCGAGTGATCGATGTCGGGGCCATTTTTACGACAACACAACCCTGGCCAGCTCAAGCTTGGGCACCCACACACAAGGTCTACCTAGAACCCAAGGGCCCTGAATACAAGGGGTTTACTCCCGGGCATGCACCCCAGCACACCGTTCACCGTACCAGACATGTTGAAGAACGTGGTGCTTGATGCTGCATGTCGTCGTGGCCATGAACAACTTTGGCCAGATGCACACGGCCCGTCGCAAACCCTAAGCTTCGGTTGAAGTCCGGAAAGTGGAACGCCTTCGTGAGGAAGTCGGTTGGCTTATCGGTGGTCGGGATGTACTGCAACGCAATCTTCTTGCGCTTCATCAACTGTTGCAACTAGACGTACCGTTGCTCCATGTGCTTGAGGTTGCCCTTGAGCCCCAGGCCTTCAGCGACCGCGATGGCCGACTGGTTGTCCATGTTAAGGACGGTCGGCATCCCAGCGTCGAGCAGCTGGAACTTGGCGAGGAGGAAGCGAAGGCGGCGAGTGTCCTTGCCGGCTTCGGTGGCCACAATGTACTCCGACTCCGTAGACGACAGAGTCACGCACTTGATGCACCGGCTTGTCATGGAGACAGTGGCGCTGCCGAAGACAAAAACGTTGTCGGTCGTCGAGTTGCGCATCCGCTTGTCGCGAGTGTTGGTACTTCAGCGTAGCCGACCAGACGCGGAATCTCCGCCACCCTGCCGAACCCTAGGCCGACATTGCGCATGTCGGCGAGACAGGTGAGGCGGCGATCAACCTCGTGCCAATGCTGGTCACTCCTCACCATCAAGCCGGACCCCACCTTGCCGCACGCGAAGGCAATGCTCGGCCTCGTCATGGTGGGGGCGAGCTGCAGCAAACCATCCATCTGCCGGAACTCCCCTCCCCCCTCGCGCGAGTGAAACGCTTCGTCGGCGAACATTGGCTCACGTAGGCTTCGACGAAGACCTCGCCTTTGGACGCAGCTTGTCAATGTAGGACTACTGGTGGAGCGATAGTTCTAACTCTGGTCGGTCGCGCACAGTATCCAGCCCTAGGTACTTCTAAACCAAGCTAAGCACGCGCAGCTTGGTCGGGCGTTCTCCAGCAGCTCGCGCAACTCCTTCAACATCGCATGGCTGCTGCTGCTGGCGAGGAGGTCTGTCAACGGGAGTTGTTGTTGGCCCCGTCCTCGCTTGGGCGGAGCCGACTTCGTGGTTGGGTGTACGGGAGGTTCAGCCGACTTGCAGCAGTGGGCGACGCCGACTTGGGCGAGCTGGTCGACGGGGTTGGTCGACTTGCACGGGGCCACTGCAATGCCGCCGACTTGGGAAGCCGGCGGCCGACTTCAACTGGTGGTTTGCAATGCGGCACGTTGACCTGGAAGTCAGCACCGACTTGCAAGGTCGCCGACTTGCAAGGTCGCCGACTTGCAAGGTCGCCGACTTGCAAGGTCGTCGACTTGCAAGGTCGCCGACTTGCAAGGTCGCCGACTTGCAAGGTCGCCGACTTGCAAGGTCGCCGACTTGCAAGGTCGCCGACTTGCAAGGTCACCGACTTGCAAGGTCCCCGACTTGCAAGGTCGCCGACTTGCAAGGTCGCCGACTTGCAAGGTCGCCGACTTGGGAGGTCGCCGACTTCAAGAGGTCAGTCTAGAAGTCGGCGCCGACGTAGAAGGGGCGTCTACTTGGTGACGCCGACTTTGGGTAGCCGACTTGGGTGGTCGGCTGACAATTGCGCTGGTCGACGTGGAGCTGGTCGACCAGGAGTGACGTCGACCTGGAGCTGGTCGACCAGAGGTGTGGTCGACCTGGTGAGGTCGAATTGGGGTGGTCGTCGACTTGGGAGGTCGACGAGCACATGCAGGAGCAGCTGGTCGACATGGTTGCCCGGTCGACCGGGATACCTGGGTGACGAGGTTCTGCGAAGGAGTGCGACGGTCGCCCAGGCGAAGTTGGCGAGTCCGACATCGGTGGTGGTATCCCGAGGTCAACGTGGCGGATCAGGTGGAGCCGTCAGCACGAAGATGACTTGGTGCGTGCGCTGTTCAGGTGACGAGGCTTAGCCCGCCAATCATCTACGAGCACCTGCGAAGTAGGTGCGCTGCTGTTCTGCGGGAGCAACGCTGGCACGCCGTCAACCTGCAGCATTGGCACGCCGTCGACTTTGCACTGCTGGAGCGCGGTCGACCAAGTCGTGCTGGAACGCGGTCGACCATGCTGTGCTGGCAGTCGACCGACCTGAATGCTAGCTCTGATGTAGTCTTGCCATGCCAACTGATTTGTACCATTGTTGTCAACTTTCTCTAGTGAAACTCTTGCCAACTTGCCCCGTGAACTAGCAAGCAGTGTGTGCACTAGGAAAACGACTAAGGACCAACGAACGCAGAGATCACACGAGCACCCGTGCCTAGCCCGTAGTCTAGCTCTCGTTGTAGTAGTTATCTCCGCAAGGTCGTCGATGTGGACGAGCATCCAGCACACCACTCTGACCTTGAAGTAGAGGGCCTCGTCGTCGTAGCTCCACATTTTTGGAGCCTTGCTGTGGTTGCGAGTGGAGCGTCGCAGATTTGGCTTGTCGACCAGGACCTTGACCACATCGTTGTCGCCAGACTGCTCCCTTGTTGACAACTCCCATTCGTCGTCGCACACGACGTCGCTTGACATGTCGTCGTCAAGCTGCTGCTCTGTTGTCGGCGTGCTTGCCAACAGCTACTCTGAAGTCAACACTTCTGACGGCTCCCCTGTCATCAGCTCCCCTAAGGTCTGCTGCTTTCCGTCATCGCCAACCTTCACTACGACTGGTTGGCCGCCAGCGATGCCACTGGTTGGCGCCAAAGGCGATGCCCCAATGCTCCCCTCATTGCCGCTGGCCGACATGGACGCCGACTTAGGCAGGTCGGCGACGAGCGGTGAAGAGGAGGCGACCGCAAAGGGCGACGAAGTCGCTTACGGTGAGAGGGCGGGAACATGATGATGAGGTGGATGGACGTCAACAGCGTCATGCTCGTCGTGTTCGGAGCAGCTGAATTGTCGCCGGCGAGATATTTGTCGGCAGGGAAGTCTGGGTCCACGTCGACGCGAAGGCGCGAGAAGGGCGGGATGCTTGCCTGCGCAAGGGCGGGGCGAGGGCTGGCTAGGGCAAGAAGGGTGGTGGCGCATAGACGAAGAACGGTGGCAAATCCGAACCTAAAATGGAATACACCAAGCATATGCAAATTGACATTTTTTGGGTCTGTTATCCGTGAACACGACGACGACCGAGCTAGGCGGATGACGCGTTACGTTTCGCAAGTACTGAATATTGAGCAATAACACATTCGTCGTAAACGAGGTTGTGTCCGTATGACCGATTTTGCAAACTAGGCGAGTTCACCCATTTCCTGACCGTTTCTGCGTGTGTATGTTTTTTCCAATACCACCTCTGTCATCGATGCCCTTTATATTTACTAACAGCATGCTTTTCCTAATGCAATGAAAAGAAGAAATTTTGCAGTGGAAACATAAACAATATGACTATAAAAAGACAAATTTGTACTCGTTAGGATTCGCAACATCAAGGAATCGGGAGAGAACCCTTGTGTTCAACGACCCACACTTCGCAAACAATTCGCTCCCTATTGACATCGCAGTCGAAACCAGAAAAGCACAAATGACGACCCGAGGCCCGTGTTATAGCTGCCCGTACGCAAAACATTGACATGTGATCTGAATTAGTGTTGGGAAGTTGACGTCCTATTTGCAATCAACACCTCCGCCTGAGCTCGACCCAGTGCTTCTCTACGCCCCGTTGTTAATCCTGTGCGTGCGCCGCGATCGATTTTAGTCACACCCAGCAGTGCCCCCGCCGTTGTTTCGTCAGGTAGGCTTGTCGGTAGAATACGCTCATTACAAGAACTAGATCTCCGCCGTTGCTAGCTTATCAACGGTACAGCGACGGTCCCGTGATGTGCTGTCGGCTCTTCACAGCAATCCCACACCTCTCTGGGTGTGATGCCACCTCTCTAAACTCCACGATATCCACTCACCAGCCACCTTAGTTTCATCAGACCTTCTGACCGCATCTCCACACAACATTAACCCTAGCCCTTCATCAAGTGCTCCACATTACCCCTCCCAACTGACTCGGCCATTTTTTTGAGCTGTTCGATCTATCAGGTCACAAGCAAATGGGGTTTCCCAACCAGAAGCATCAGAATTGAAATCAGCAGCGGCATCGGTATCAGAATCGCCGTGGTCGTCGGCAATACCGAGGGCCGTGTTAGACCATTCGCTCCTCTACAGCCCCCCTTAGCCTCACTTCCGCAGGAAAACTGCTGCTGGGGCGACTCAGAAGTCATTGGCAATACAGAGGGGGCCGTGTTGGATCACTCGCCCGCGCACAGCCTCCCCCAGCCTCACATCGCTCCGCATGGAAGCAGCACCGCCGTTGCCCCAGCCCCTACCTCCAGCTTCGCGCCCTTCGATTTTCTCAAACCTCCGTTCAGTCACTTTCTGCCAGGGGGGGGGGGGAGAAGGGGCAAGGAGGCGGCAGCGGAGGAGGAAGGTGTGTGTAAGAAAGGGGGGGTGTGGAAGCTAGGAGGGGGGAGGGGCGGCGCGAGCTTGTGAGAGGGGATTGGCTGATGGAGAGGGAAGGATATCCGATGTGCGAGTCTTGATCAAGCACCTGACACAAGACCTGTCAAAGCACCTGATAATGCACCTGATTGGTCACCTGTGCTGAGATCGGCCGGTCAAGGAACTACAGCACTTGCATGCCCTCATGCCATCGCACCAGCCAATGTGACAGTGTTTTCGGAACTGGTGCGTTGACAACTCAAATACAGCACCTCCCCCAATCGCACCTCCCCCCTGTTGCACCCCCCACCTGTCGCACATCCCCCTGTCGCACCTCCCCTTGTCGCACCTCCCCCTGTCCCACCTCCCCCTGTCCCACCTCCCCTTGTCCCACCTCCATTTGCTGCACTCTCCAAAGTCAGATGCACCATAAGCACAGTGTTGCTATGTTACCATGTTACCACCACCACCGTCCTCTGACCCGTCACAGTCGCTGGGGACACACAGCCAGCTTGCAGCAAAACCTTCAACCGGCCTTACAGCAGACGAATCACACCTCTGTTGGAGCACTTTTTGCCGCTTGGGGAGGAAGGAACAGAGAGGCCAAGGAGGAGGAGGGAAGCCAGGGGAGTGTGTGGGGAGGGGGTGAGGAGTGAGAGGGCGAGATGGTGAGAGGGAGTGTGTGAGCTGGGGAGAGGGGATTGACAGATGGATAGGGATGGGTCTTTTTATGCAGCACCTGATGAAACACCTGGCACAAGTACCTGTTGATGCACCCGATGCTGGAAGCGGCAAGCTAGTAGCGTTGGCGCCAGCCAATACGACGGTGGAATCGGTTTTCTGCACCTCCTCTCTCGCACCTTTTCCTTTCGCACCTCCCTTGTTGCACCTTCCCCTGCCGCACCTCCCGCTGTCGCACCTCCCCCTATTGCACCTTCCCCCAACGCAGCAGCTCTCTTCATGCGCCATGAATGAAGCAGCTGTGGCACGTGGAACAACAGCAATTGGGGAAGTTGCAGCAGCAGCGGCAGGCGCTTGTCATCCATTTTTCCAAAGTCGGATGCACCACAACCACATTGTTACCATGTTTCAGTGTTACCACCACCACCATCCAGCGACTTGTCACATGTGCTGTGCCTCCTAACAGTCATGGCATGGCACGCAACAAGCCGTTCAACCGACTTCACAGCCCGTTCCAGCAATCCATGGGCACCACAGGCCCTCCTCCCTTTGGCACAGGAGGTGTTGCGTGACACACCCTACAATCTTTTATCTATCCCATTCCATCCACCCAATCTGCCGGTTAATGATCCAATGGCTGACAGCGTGCCAGGCCAGTAATGCCCAATTTCCCGAGCCACAGGCTAATGGGTATGCCCCGTCTGCCCCTTCTGCCCCGTCTGCCCCTTCTGCCCCTTCTGCCCCATCTGCCCCGTCTGTCCCTTTTGCCCCATGTGCCCCATGTGCCCCATCTGCCCCGTCTATCCCTGCCCCGTCTGCCCCTTTCGCCCTTGTGCACTGGCACGAGCCGTCTCAGCAGCATGATTTTTTGTCCCAGCAGGGAGTGAAGAGGCAAGTTAAGACATTATCATTGAGCCACTTTTCAGTAGCTCCGGCAACGGAAGCAGGTGTAGCAAGCTAGTGGACAGCAGGAGCAACAGCTCTCGTCCCTTGATCAGCTGAGTGTTACGGAAGGGAAAGTAGAAGCAAATAAGGCAGCAGGAAGGGAGGCAGGCAGAGAGGCAGCAGATGGCTATTGGACTTGGTGGGGACAGAGTGGTGTCAGAGGAAGGTAGAAGGGGGTAGTGGGAGATTGGGAGTAGAGGAGGGGCAAGTGCGAGCAGAGGAGGGGCGAGTGGTGACTAGGATGAAGAAGGGGCGAGGAATTAGCTGTAGAAGGTGAACCAGCAGCAGCATCCGCATCAGCATCAGCTGTACTACGAGCAGGTGCAACGAACAGGCACTGATACATGCTGACTTCCAGCAAGCTCTTTTGGTAAAAGGAACTTCTTACGGTTGACTTCCTCCACATTCTACTAACCAGTGGTCCTGCTGCTGCTTCGGGTGCCAGTGGTAATGACGCCTCTGCTGCTCCTTGCCCTGCTGTCCTCATGAGGTTCCCAGGTTCAAACTGGCGGGAGTAGGATTCAAACCTGGTGGTGTCGGCGTTGGAACAGAATGGAACCTGTAGCATGTTTTGAAATAAGCACTGCTGCAGGTACTGAACAGGCACTGTAGCAGGAGCAGGAGTGCCACTGGTGCTGGGAGCCCATCAATCCAGGTGTCTTCTCGACACACCCAGAACCTTGCTCTCACCCACACACACGCACGGAGGGTTGGGGTAGCCGGCAGCAGAATGCATGTGGGGTGATGAGGCAGAGGGGATGAACAGGAGGAAGAGGAGGGGAGGGAGGGAGAGAGGATGGGAGGGAGGGAGAGAGAGGATGGGAGGGAGGGAGAGAGAGGGACAGAGGGGTACGAGGAGTAGGGATTGACAACGTGATCGGGAGGAGGGGGAGCCGAGGCTGTGGAGGTGGTGTTCGAGAGTGCATGCTGTTTGTGTCGTGTGGCCATGTGCTGCGCTGATTTCTCTATGTAACCAAAGGATTAAGGATATGCTCAAGTTGTAATGATACGTACAGAAATACCGTAGAATCAAGATCCCTAGTGATATGTTAGGAACTGGTACAATCGAATTTCGAGGCTAAAATGAGAACAATCACTGTCTGTGTACACAAGATGTAGCAGGTCACACAGGACAGGGCGGACAACTAATCTACAAGCATTCTTGCCTCCTAAACGTCAATGAGAATTTATAATCCGCCCGGATATCATGCAGGATGCAGCTCAGATCGTCATGAGTGTCAATAACATTAACAGTAGGGAGCTCCTTGGCCATTCTGCGTGCTGTCCGAGTGCGACTCACTCCAACCTTTTCAAGGCAGGGAAGAGCCTTCAAGCAGTCAATGGCATCCTGAGAATCATGAAATGAAGTCCTCAACCAAACTGTCTTGAGGCACTTGAAGCATTTCAAGTGCTCCATGCCCTGGGCAGTAATGTGATATGGCAAGCTGAGCCATGTCAACTTTGACAGGGGCACGAGATGGGCTAACAGATCATTGTACACCCTCAAAGCAGTGATATCCAGTGCTTCGAGATTCGTCAGCTTTCCCACGTGCACAATGCCAACTGATGATATATAGCCTCCTTGGCTATATGAGGGGTGTCAGAATGTGATGTTTGTCTAGCCTGCAGTGGGGTACTCTATAGCGAGTACAACCCAATTAGGGTTTCCTATATGTATCTCAACTGCTGCTAGTGAAAACCCTTCTTTCCTGTTTCTGATTCTTGCCTATAGTTTCAACATGCTATCAGAGCAGGTCGACCCCCCCGGGTCGATCCTGTGGATGGGCCCACCGTTAGCTTCCGCTGCTGTCCTGCCTATCGCGCGCCTCGGGCGCGCTTCGTTTTCTGCTTGCCGCGCGCTCGGGGCGAGCGGTGTTTTTTTTTTTTCTTCCCGCCGCGCGCTCGGGGCGCGCGGCGGTTTTCTGCCCTGCCCGCCGCGCGCCCCGGGAGCGCGCGACGGTTTCCTGCCCTGTCGACCCACGCGTCGCCCCCCGTCGCCCGTCGCCGCGCCCCTGGAGACCCGCGCGTCGCCCTCCGTCGCCCGACGCGGCTCGCGCGACCTGCGCCAGGCCCGCGCCCGGCCCGTACGGGCTGCGCCAGGCCCGCGCACGGCCTGTACGGCCTGCGCCAGGTCTGCGCGCGGCTCGTACGGTCTGCGCCAGGCCCGCGCGCGGCCCGTCCAGCTGCTGCCCGAGCCGCGCGCCGTCCCCCCAGCTGCTGCCCGCGCATCGCCCCCCGCTGCTGCCTGTGTTAGGGTTTGGGGATGGCGAGTGTGGGGGTGGCCAGTATGGGGGTGCCGGGTGTGTGCGCCGTCCCCTGCTCCTCCTCCTCCTCCGTCTCCCACTGCTGCAGCTGCCGCTGAGGGGGGTGGATGTGTTGGAGCCGTCGGAGTGATACGAGGAGGGTGGCGTGTGAGCAGTGCTAGGGGTACAGCGGGGAGTGTGTGAAAGGGGTGTGGGACAGTTGGGGGAGGTTGACCGGAGGTAGCCGACTTGTCGTCCGCAGCGCCTAAAGTCCAGAGAGCCACGACCCCCTATGGCCGTGTAGTCCGGGGCTCTGCGCCTGGTAGCCACAGTGTGAGCACTCCTGGTAGTCCAGAGAGCCACGACCCCCTGTGGCCGTGTAGTCCGGGGCTCTGCGCCTGGTAGCCACAGTGTGAGCACTCCTGGGAGCACAGAGAGCCAGCTGCGCCTGTCGCCGTGTAGTCCGGGGCTCTGCGCCTGGTAGCGTCAGTGCTGCACACTCCTATTGCCCGTGTGTCTGCAGCTTCAGCCGTCGCCTCCCATCTTCTCGCCCCCCACAGTTTCTCCTCCTCCTCACTTGCCCTCTGTGATAGCCTCTAGCTTTGCTTATCATTGTGAACTATTGCTCTGTCTGCTTGTTGTGCTGATTATACCCCACTTTGACTATGGGGGTGTGTCAGAATGTGATGTTTGTCTAGCCTGCAGTGGGGTACTCTATAGCGAGTACAACCCAATTAGGGTTTCCTATATGTATCTCAACTACTGCTAGAGAAAACCCTTCTTTCCTGTTTCTGATTCTTGCCTATAGTTTCAACAAGGGGTAGTCATAGCCATTAGAAAGAACAAGAACGGTGAGAGAGCTAAGGCGTGTCAGATGTGCAAGGCCAGCGTCTGTAACCTGTGTCGATATCAGTTCAAGTCGACGGAGGGATGTCAAGTTGCTTATTTGCAAAACCGAATAATCACATCAGACTCTGTTTTCGAGTTTCAGCTCCTCCAGCCATGTCATGGTGTCAAGGGGCTTTTTCAAGTCACATAAGTCGACATTCTGGGAAATCTTGAGGCTCTTTAGGGAGGTCAAGTACCATAGGTGTTGAAGTCCAAGCCATGTCAAATTATATATGTGATACATGTGTAGGCTGTAGTGGGGTAGCCAATATGGGGTATAGCCCCTTTTGGGTTTCATATTTGTACCCAACCTTCTGCTAGTTCATTCATTCCTGCCTAGACTTTCTAACATGGTTTCAGAGCAGTAGGTCCGTAGGACCGTTTTTTTTTTTTTTCGGGCCCACCTACCGTTGCGGTTACTGAGCTGCCCCACGTGCCTGCGCTGCGCTGCCCGAGCGCGCCCTGCCTTGCCTGCGCTGCGTTGCCCGCGCGCCCCCTGCCTTGCCTGCGCTGCGCCCCACGCGCGCGCCCTGCCTTGCCTGCGCTGCGCCCCACGCGCGTGCCCTGCCTTGCCTGCGCTGCGCTGCCCGCGCGCGCCCTACCTTGCCTGCGCTGCGCTGCCTGCGCGCGCCCTACCTTGCCTGCGCTGCGCTGCCCACGCGCGCTGCCCTAGACCTGCGCGCAGCCCGCTGCTGCCCCGCGCGCCGCGGCTGCTGCCCTCGCGCAGCACGCTGCTGCCCTGCGCGCCGCGTCTACAAGCTGCGCAGCCCGCTGCTGCCCCGCGTGCCGCGGCTGCCGCCCTCGCGCAGCACGCTGCTGCCCCGCGCGCCGCGTCCGCAGCCCGCGCAGCCTGCTGCTGCCCTGCGCGCCGCGGCTGTCGCCCTCGCGCAGCCCGCAGCTGCCCCGCGCGTAGCCTCAGCTGCCCTTGCGCGGCCCGCTTCTTCCGCGCGCGCTGCCTCCGCTGCTTGCGCAGCCCGCGGCTGCCTCGTGCGCCGCCTTACCTGGCAGCGCGCCGTCCTACTCTGGCCGCGAGCCGCCCTTCCTTGACCGTGCACAACCTTGACTTACCCTAGTGCCTCCTCGCCGCCCTTCCTTCCCTACGGCCTGCCCTGCTGGTCGCATGACTTCTCTTCACGGCAACGGTGGGAGTGGTGGTGGCGGTGGCGTCCGTAGTGGTAGTCGCTCTGGAGCTGTTCGGCACGGACTTTCTGGCGGCGGCCAGATGCAGCTGCAGCGATGTCCGAGCGAGACCCTTACACCCGCGCAGCTTCGTGACTGGTACGCTCGTAGGTGTGGTGGCGGTGGCAGTAGTAGCAGTTGCGGTGCAGCTAGTCAGTTGGGAGTTTCTACCGGTGGCCTGGTGCAGCTGCAGCGACGTCCGAGCGAGACCCTTCCGCCCCAGCATCTTTGTGCGTGGTACGCTCGTAGGTGTGGTGGCGGCGGCAGTGGTGGCAGTCGCGGTGCGGCTAGTCAGTTGGGAGTTTCTGAAGGGGGCCTGGTGCAGCTGCAGCGACGTCTGAGCGAGACCCTTACGTGCCAGCAGCTTCATGAGTGGTACGCTTAGAGTGGGGGGTCTAGGAGTCCTGCCCGCTGCTCGTACGTCATTCGCATAGGTGATCGGGCTGGTCAGACTTGCGGAACGCTCTCTCACACACAGGCTCGCTGCTTCGCCCGTCTGAGTGACGCCTGGCGTGCTGTGTTTAGCGACGAGGCTGAGCTCCCCCACCGTCTAGAGGTGCTGCGCAACAAGGTGGATATCTTTGCTCTAGACTTTTACACTATCCTTACTACCATGTATGCTCTGACTGGTACTACTGAGGGTGACTGTTGCATGTGTGTGCCCCCTGACCCTGGTATAGCGGCTGTTGCTCTAGGTGCTAGTGAGTCTGCTCTCTCTGGTACTGCGCCTGCTGAGGCCTTGTACACCTTCACCATTGACTCAGGTGCTTCCCGCTGCTTCTTTCGCGACAGTACCACAGTCACTCCCCTCGCTGCACCTGTCCCTGTCTCACTGGCTGACCCCTCTGGGGGCCCAGTGCTTGCTCGCTCTTCCACTGTACTCCCGTGTCCGGCAGTCCCGTCCGGTGAGCTGTCAGGTTTCCACCTCCCCTCGTTCTCTACGAACCTGGTGAGCACCGCCGTCCTTCAGGATCACTGGGTTGACACCTTTACTCCTGGAGGACAGCGTGTGACGCACTGCACGTGCTCTCGGACCGGCCGCCACCTGGCCACGTTCACACGTGCGCCTGGGTCCAGTCTGTACACCCTCACCACTGTGTCGCGCTACGCCCCTTTGTCTCCTCAGCTGTACGCGTCTGCTCAGGTAGCTACCCAGTGTGAGTGTCGCCGCCTGTCGCGCGACACTCTCCTGTGGCACCACCGCCTTGGTTACCCCTCCCTGCCCCGCCTTCGTGGCATGCACTCTCGCCTACTGGTCTCTGGTCTTCCTAGGTCTCTGCCCGCCCTCCCTCCCTCGCCTGTGCCGCCCTGCATTCCTTGCGTCGAGGGACGGCAGCGCGCCGCTCCTCACTCCTCCTCGTTCCCTCCCACGGAGGCTCCACTGCAGACTCTCCACCTGGACGTGTGGGGCCCAGCCCGCGTCCAGGGGTAGGGCCGCGAGCGGTACTTCCTGCTGGTCGTCGATGACTACACGCGTTACACCACGGTCTTCTCCTTGCGCAGCAAGGGGGATGTCCCTGCTGTTCTGATCCCCTGGATCCGCGCTGTTCGTCTCCAGCTCCGCGAGCGTTTTGAGTCGGACTTTCTTGTCCTGTGTCTGCACTCTGACAGAGGTGGTGGGTTCACCTCCGACCTCTTGCGAGTCTTCTGTGAGGAGCACGGCATTCGCCAGTCGTTCACTCTTCTGGCCTCTCCACAGCAGAATGGGGTTGCTGAGCGCCGCATTGGCTTAGTCATGGAGGTCGCTCGTACCTCCATGATCCATGCGGCTCCCCCCCATCTTCTGTGGCCGTTTGCGGTCCGGTACGCCGCGCATCAGCTCAACCTCTGGCCCCGTGTCTTCGTGCCGGAGACTTCGCCCACACTACGTTGGACGGGGGAGGTTGGCGATGCGTCGCGTTTCCGGGCCTGGGGTGCTCGTGCCTTCGTCCACGATCTCACCGCGGACAAGCTCTCTGCTCGCGAGATTCCCTGTGCCTTCCTTGGCTTTCCCCCTGACGCATCTGGCTGGCAGTTTTACGACCCCGCCTCGCGCCGTGTCTTTGCGTCTCAGGACGTCACCTTTGACGAGTCGGTCCCCTTTTATCGTCTCTTTCCCTACCGCACTGCCCCTCTCCCCCCCCCCGCCGCTCTTTTTCGCTCCAGGTCTTCCTCAGGTAGACCCCCTCCCCGCTCGAGGTCCTACTCCTTCAGGTGTATCTCAGGTAGACCCTCCTCTCTTGACTGAGCCGGTTGAGGTCACTGGTGACTCAGGTCCTCCTGCGGGTGGTCCTGCTCGGGGTGCTGCTTCTGGGGGTGCTGAGCCTGGGGGTGCGGAGCCTGGAGGTGCTGAGCCTGAGCGTGAGGAGCCTGGGGGTGCTGAGCCTGAGGGTGCGGAGTCTGGGGGTGCTGAGCCTGGGGGTACTGAGTCTGGGGGTGCTGCGCTTGGGGGCACTGAGGCGTGTAGTGAGCAGTCTCCTCGGAGCGACCGCCTCCGCAGTCGCTCCGCTGGTGCCTCGCCGCAGCCCTCTCGTCGGCGTGTCCCTCTCTCCACACAGCAGCTACGTGAGTGGTACGTTAGCCGTCAGGGTCGCGCTGCTGGAGCTGGGGGTCCTGCTGCGGGAGGCGCTGGCGTTGGAGGCACTGGAGCTGGCGCTGTCCCTCTCTCCCCACAGCAGCTGCGTGAGTGGTACGTTAGCCGTCAGGGTCGCACTGCTGAAGCTGGTGCCTCTGCTACTGGAGGTGTTTATGCTGACGTTAGATTGACACAGGCACAAAGATTGCCACAGGCACAAAGATTGACACAGGCACAAAGATTGACACAGGCGCAAAGATTGACACAGGCACAAAGATTGCCACAGGCGCAAAGATTGCCACAGGCACAAAGATTGACACAGGCGCAAAGATTGACACAGGCACAAAGATTGACACAGGCGCAAAGATTGCCACAGGCACAAAGATTGCCACTGGCACAAAGATTGACACAGGCGCAAAGATTGCCACAGGCGCAAAGATTGACACCGGCACAAAGATTGACACAGGCACAAAGATTGCCACAGGCACAAAGATTGCCACAGGCACAAAGATTGACACAGGCGCAAAGATTGCCACAGGCGCAAAGATTGCCACAGGCACAAAGATTGACACAGGCGCAAAGATTGCCACAGGCACAAAGATTGCCACAGGCGCAAAGATTGCCACAGGCGCAAAGATTGACACAGGCACAAAGATTGACACAGGCGCAAAGATTGACACAGGCACAAAGATTGCCACAGGCGCAAAGATTGACACAGGCGCAAAGATTGCCACAAGCACAAAGATTGACACAGGCGCAAAGATTGCCACAGGCGCAAAGATTGACACAGGCACAAAGATTGACACAGGCACAAAGATTGCCACAGGCACAAAGATTGCCACAGGCACAAAGATTGACACATGCACAAAGATTGACACAGGCGCAAAGATTGACACAGGCACAAAGATTGCCACAGGCGCAAAGATTGCCACAGGCACAAAGATTGACACAGGCGCAAAGATTGACACATGCACAAAGATTGACACAGGCGCAAAGATTGCCACAGGCACAAAGATTGCCACAGGCACAAAGATTGACACAGGCACAAAGATTGACACAGGCGCAAAGATTGCCACCGGCGCAAAGATTGACACAGGCACAAAGATTGACACAGTCACAAAGATTGCCACAGGCACAAAGATTGCCGCAGGCACAAAGATTGACACAGGCACAAAGATTGACACAGGCGCAAAGATTGACACAGGCACAAAGATTGCCACAGGCGCAAAGATTGCTACAGGCACAAAGATTGACACAGGCGCAAAGATTGACACAGGCACAAAGATTGACAAAGGGCAAAGATTGCCACAGGCACAAAGATTGCCACAGGCACAAAGATTGACACAGGCGCAAAGATTGCCACAGGCGCAAAGATTGACACAGGCACAAAGATTGACACATGCACAAAGATTGCCACAGGCACAAAGATTGCCACAGGCACAAAGATTGACACAGGCGCAAAGATTGCCACAGGCGCAAAGATTGCCACAGGCACAAAGATTGACATAGGCGCAAAGATTGCCACAGGCACAAAGATTGCCACAGGCGCAAAGATTGCCACAGGCGCAAAGATTGACACAGGCACAAAGATTGACACAGGCGCAAAGATTGCCACAGGCACAAAGATTGCCACAGGCACAAAGATTGACACAGGCGCAAAGATTGCCACAGGCACAAAGATTGCCACAGGCGCAAAGATTGACACAGGCGCAAAGATTGCCACAGGCGCAAAGACTGCCACAGGCGCAAAGATTGCCACAGGCGCAAAGATTGACACAGGCACAAAGATTGCCACATGCACAAAGATTGACACAGGCACAAAGATTGACACAGGCACAAAGATTGACACAGGCACAAAGATTGACACAGGCACAAAGATTGACACAGGCACAAAGATTGACATAGGCGCAAAGATTGCGGGACACGGTAGCTGTGTTGCAGGTGAGGTGGCAGTGCGGTGTGCAGGGTTCATTGCCCTTGGGATTCACTGGGGTGCAATTCGCTGGCTGAGGGCCGGCCGTCGGTTCATTTAGGCTCACTACAAGGATAACCCTCCCATACTGCCGCTCCTGCTGCTTCTATTGTACTCTCTTCTAATCCTCTCCCACCGACAACAGGAACTCAATGCAGCGGGGTGCAAGTCGCTGGCAGAGGGCTGTCAGTTAGAACACCTCTGACATGCCCCAATGCAGGAGAAATGCTCCGCTTCCCCACCTCTCCTTTCCTTCATTCTCTCCAGTCCCCTTTCATCCCCACCCATTCTCTTCCAATCCAATCCACCCCCCTTCCAGGAGTTAAGAGCAGCGGGGTGCAAGTCACTGGCGGAGGGTCGTTGGTTCATCCAGGCGCATTACAACCCCACTGCTGCTGCTGCTGCGGCTGCTGCCGCCACTGTTGCTTCTTCTGCTGATGGTGTTCTTTCTGCTGCTGCGTTGCCTGTTCTTCTCCGTCCGCCCCTCCCGTCCCTGACAGGAACTCAGAGCAGCAGGGTGCAAGTCACTGGCAGAGGGTCGTCGGTTCATCCAGGCTCATTACAAGAACAACCCTGCCGCTGCCGCTGCTGCTATTGCATGCCTTCCACCCTCCGCCACAGGTGGGTTTACCATCTCTCCACCACAGGTGTGGGAAAGCTAGCTAACACGAACATGTGTGTCTCTGTGCTACAAGGACAACCCCGCTGATGCTGCTGCTGGCATCGCGTGCCTTCCACCCTCCGCCACAGGTGTGGTACCCACTCTCTGTCACAGGTGTGTGAAAGCTAGCTAGCACCAACACATGTATCGCAGCCAGTGCCACAAGGACAACCCTGCTGCTGCTGCTGCTGTTGCTGCTGCTGCAATTGCACTCACAGCCAATGGCATAGCACGATCAGCAAGAGATCTTATTTTCTCATCGCCACATGCTCCGTCTTCCCTGCTCCAGTGTCCCGCTTCTTCTTCTCCAATCTGCCACTTTTCCCTCCCTTGCCACTTGCGCCACCAGCCATCAGCACAGCATCACTAGGAGGCGCTTCAGCAGCTCTTGACATCTCCTCCCACCCAGGATGCGACCTGCTGTCACCCAAGGTGAGAGGTCCATTCCCAATATATCATTTCGCTCTAATCGGGTTGTGCTCTAATCATATTGCGCTATGATGATATCTGCCAAGGTGAGATCACAAGGGCGGGTATCTTCCAACCATCTACATGCCTCCCATTCTCCTTTCCATGCTGCCTTCATTCCTCTCTGTGATGTTGTGACTGCTCCGCTCTGCCTCCAAACCGTTTCATCTTTCTTCTGTTGACTCCTCCTTTCTTTTCAGTCCATGCTTTGAAGCAAGCCTCTTCCCTTCCACACAAGCTCACTTCTCTCGTCCCTCTAACCCATGCGTCCACTTGCCGTTCTTCCTGTTGTGCATACCTTATGGATCATGACAAACAACGTCATCCACCCGCTTGGAAAACGCCAAACACTGCCATGCGCTCAGGAGCGTGAGCTGTGCACACACATGCGCCTGCTGCCAGCACACTACCTCTGGGCCAAGCAGGTGAGACTGGTAGAGTGGCTTAGGAGCTGCAGGATGGTTTTTCCTGACAAAGTTCGTCTCCTGTGTTCACGCACATGCGCCTGCTGCCAGCACACTACCTCCGGGCCAAGCAGGTGAGACTGGTAGAGTGGCTTAGGAGCTGCAGGATGGTTTTTCCTGACAAAGTTCGTCTCCTGTGTTCACGCACATGCGCCTGCTGCCAGCACACTACCTCCGGGCCAAGCAGGTGAGACTGGTACAGTGGCTTAGGAGCTGCAGGATGGTTTTTCCTGACAAAGTTCGTCTCCTGTGTTCACGCACATGCGCCTGCTGCCAGCACTTCCGTGCCAAGCAGGTGAGATCCGTGAGCTGGGTCACTATCTTTAGTGTGCTATGAAGTATCCTAGTGTGTGTGCATGCAAGTGGGTGAGCTGTGTACACACATACACCTGCTGCCAACGCACTACCTCCGCGCCAAGCAGGTGAGATTCGTGTGCTGGGCCACTGGCTTTATCTGCGACTAAGTAGCCTAGTGTGTGAGTGTACGATGCGTCTACTAAGTAACTTAGAGTTCGTGTGCACTCTAAAAGGTAGCTGTGCACGCGCATGCGCCTGCTACCAGCACACTACCTACCTCTGAGCCAAGAAGGTGAAATTCTCCGAGTTTCTCAGGACAGATTAACAGCAAGCGGGTGGTTTTGTTGAAGACGAGCTTTGATGCTTGCCCTCACAACTCTATTCGGGCGCTAGGAGTTGACTGCTGCCAGCGCACTACCATCTTCTGGCCAAGCAGGTGAATTTTCCTTTGTACTTGTGTGTATGACCTGTACGTTAAGTAAGCTCAGGAGGAACAAACAGGTTAGCTTGTTACAACTTGTTTACGGGCCTGCTTCAAGCACCCGCTGTTGATGCCTGGTGCCCTGGATTTTGCCTTGCACCATTCTGCCTTCCCACCCTGTCGCTTTCCACCCATCATCTCCCCCGCCGACCCGTTTCATCAGGTCATCTTGCCGCAAGCAGCCGTGTCAGGGGGGTCATTTCACGGGCAGCGGTGCACCGACTCTTTCGCCTGCTCAATCCACCACTGGCAACATGTGTGTTCCCTGCTGCCTCGTTTCTTACACCAACCATTCTCCCACCTACACCCATCAGGTCATCTTACAGCAAGCAGCACTCTCAGGGGGAGCCATCTCACGAGCAGCAGTGCACCGAGTCTTCCTCCTGCCCCCCGCCACCACTGACGGCTGGCACCCTGCCATTTCTTAATGCATCCCCCCCTCCCCATCCCATGAGGTCATCTTACAGCAAGCAGCACTCTCAGGGGGAGCCATCTCACGAGCAGCAGTGAATCGACTGTTCCGCCTGCCTCCCGCCACTACTGACAACATGTGTGTGCCTGGCCTTGTTTCTCACACCATCCTCCCCTCGTCCGCCCATCCCATCAGGTCGTCCTACAGCAAGCAGCCCTGTCAGGAGGCTCCATCTCACGAGCAGCGGTGCACCGACTCTTCCGCCTGCCCCCCGCCACCACTGATGCCATTTTTAGACTCTTTCTGGGAGCTGGCTGGATTGCTGAAGCTGGGGGGAACAGTGCTGGTGGTGGGATGGGAGGGGCAATGGTGAAGCAGGAAGGAATGTGAGTGCATGCTACTGCCAGCCACCACCGATGCCATTGTCAGACTCTTGCTGGGGGTTGGCTGGTTATCTGAAGCTGGGGGGAGTGGTACTGGCAGCGGGGGTATCAGAGGGTCGATGGGAGGGGGGATGGTGAAGCAGGAAGGGATGTGAGGTCTTCCCCCCTCCACCACCACTGACGCCATTTTTAGACTCCTGCTGGGGGCTGGCTGGCTAGATAGCTGAAGCTGGTGGAAATAACGCCGGTGTGGGGGGGGATGGGTGGGCGAATGGTGAAGCACAAGGGAATGTGAGATCAGGTTGCCTCCAGCCAGCAATGGTGTCATCGTCAGATTTTTATGGGGCCTGGCTGGATAGCTGAAGCTGGGGGTGGTGGTGCTACTTGCCGGATGGGTTGGGAGATGGGTGGAGGGGGTGGTGATTTGAGTTCGTGCTGCCTCATGCCACCACTGTTTCAATCGGTCCCTCGTGGTGGGGGCTAGCTGGATAGCTGCAATGGGGCAGCGAGTGGCAGTGGGGTGGTGGGGGGCATGATACTGGAGCAAGAGGAGATTTGAGTTCATGCAGCCTCCAGCCCTCTGGATAGCAGTCTAGGAGAGACTGATTAGGAGGGATGGGGGAGTTGATGGTGCGTTACAAGAATGTGCCGGTTTGGGTGGTGGTGAAGCAACATCTAATTGCACAAGCAACTTTGTAGTCACTTCTACTAGTATCAGCTGTTGAGAAATACATAACAGAAAGAAATAGGTATGCTGTTAGATTTTACTGTAGTCCTTGTTATAAGACTTCAGGGCGTACAATAATTGTGCAATTATTGTAGGGCTGGAATTATTGGAGTTTAGAGGTCTGGGGGTAGAATTATTGGTACTCCACTATTGGAGTTGCCATTCTTGGTGGTACAATTATTGGTGTGGATGGATGGGTATGGGCAAGGTAGCTGGTAGCATAAATTCCCTGCTGTGTAGTTTCATCATCAATCAATTCCATTGTTCTCAATCCAGACGGCACTATGCCTTTCTAGCATCAGCTACATGTGTTTTTTTGTGTGCTCTCAGGTGGATCCAGAATGCTTTGTTCTGAGGTGTATCATTTGCGGTAACTAAATTCCTAAAATGTTCACTTTCTTGGTGGTTGATAGCAATGTACCAAAACCTAGATATACAATCGCAATGTGCAATCTATAGTGACATTCATAGACTAATTATAGCAAGGTTTTGTCCCACGCACATGTTGACGGGCAGAGGGGAACACGGTGCCACGTTCACGCCTAGTCTACGCCTTCTTCATGCCTTATTTACGCCTTGTTTATGCCATTCTCTCGCCTAAGGAGGAGCGAAAATGACGACTCTGGAGAGACGCGTCATACGTGTCAGAATGCTGTATTTGTCTAGCCTGCAGTGGGGTACTCTATAGCGAGTACAGCCCAATTTAGGGTTTCCTATATGTACTCAACTGCTTGCTAGTGCAACCCCCCTTTCTGCTGCTAAACTTTTGCCTTACCTTTCGACATGCTATCAGAGCAGGTCGACCCTCCTGGGTCGATCCTGTGGGTGGGCCCCACCCGATGCTTCCGCTGCTCTACTGTGTGTAACGCGCCCCTGGCGCGTGCTGTTTCCTGCCTGCCGCGCGTTCCGGGCGCGCAGCGATTTTTTCTTCCCGCCGCGCGCTCGGGGCGCGCGGCGGTTTTCTGCCCCGTCGAACCGCGCGTCGCCCCCTGCCGACCGTGGCGTCGCCCCCCGTCGCCCGTCGCGGCCCGCGCGACCTGCGCCAGGCCCGCGCGCGGCCCGTACGGGCTGCGCCAGGCCCGCGCGCGGCCCGTACAGCCCGTACGGGCTGCGCCAGGCCCGCGCGCGGCCCCCCTCCCGTCACCCGCCGTGGCGCCCTCGGGGGGCCCGCGCCCTACTCCTTCGTGGCGCCAAGGAGACCCCCCGCCGCCTCCCTTTCCCTCCGTGAACTGTCCCTGCTACTCCCCGCGCTCCTGCCTTCGTTAGGGTTTGGGGGTGGCGGGCATGGGGGTGACCGGTGTGGGTAACCTGCAGCTCCTCCTCCTCCTCCGTCTCCCACTGCTGCAGCTGCCGCTGAGGGGGGTGGGTGTGTGGGAGCCGAGGGTTTAGGGTTTAAGGGGGGGTGTCGTGGGAGTGGAGCTAGGGGTGCAGCAGGGGGTGTGTGATAGGGGCGTGGGGCAGTTGGCGGAGGTTGAACGGAGGACGCAGTCGTGTCACCAGCAGCACCAGTAGTCCGGAGGCTACAATCTCCGGTAGTCGCCAGTCGCCTGTGGGTCAGTTGCTCCAGTCAGGAGGCTACAATCTCCGCGGAGCCAGTTACTCCTGTAGTCCGGGCCTTTGCTTCGGTAGCCACTGAGCCAGCAGCTCCTGCGTGTCTGCAGCTTCAGCAGTCGCCTCCCATCTTCTCGCCCCCACAGTCTCTCCACCTCCTCACTTGCCCTCTGTGATAGCCACTAGCTTTGCTTATCATTGTGAACTATTGCTCTGCATGCTTGTTGTGCTGATTACACCCCACTTTGGCTATGGGGGTGTGTCAGAATGCTGTATTTGTCTAGCCTGCAGTGGGGTACTCTATAGCGAGTACAGCCCAATTTAGGGTTTCCTATATGTACTCAACTGCTTGCTAGTGCAACCCCCCTTTCTGCTGCTAAACTTTTGCCTTACCTTTCGACAATACGCCCAGCGCGAAAGGTAATTTGTTTTCGCTCAGATGGGCTGTGCGCAGGTCGTAAAGTTCACACGGTGGAAATTTGGAGTGGTTGCTGCTCTCGCGGAACCAGGTTTAGCTTCGTTGCGTCTCTCGGGCAAAGCTTCACGGACGTCCGACGTCGAGAAAGAATTTATAGCATCAGAATCTAATTTTCTTCGTGGAAAGTAGTCCATTTTGCTGATCATTCTCCTCACCAAGCTCGTCGGCTCTTCCTCTTGCCAACAAGTGAGCCGCGTTCACAATGACAACGGCGACAGCAAGGCTTCTAGAGGAGATTATGAGTGTAGGGACAAAGTTAGCCGTTCGATTTGAGGATGCGCGGAGGGAGTTGGAGACGGAACAGCGACAGAGAAACTCTTCGGAAATCACGGAGAGCCCAATGCTGACTGATAGATTGGAAAAGCTGGAGAACTTTTAAAAGAAACGAGGGAGGAGAACATCAACAGCATAAGCGAGCTCAAGAATGAGTTAGCAGCTGAGAGGGCTGCAAGGGAGGAAAAGGAAAAGGAGGTGGCTGCACTAACAGTGCGACTCTCGCAGACAGAGGAATCTCTGTCGCATCAGAAAGAAGAAACGAGCAAGATTTGGGAGGTGAGCTGAAACATCTCCAAGCATGTTACCCAAGCGTAAACCATACGATGCCCACTCACCCCATGTTTAACGTTTTTATTTATTTTTATTTTTTTACGATGTGCTTGTTCCAAGCGATTTCACAGACTTTGTGTCAGCCAACGACTGGTACGGTTCCTCAGGATGAAGGACGGTTTCCAAGCAAGGAGATGGAATCACTTGTGTCTACATTGGTAGCGCAGTCTGCGCAAGCCGTAAAGACGTTGGAGCAGCAAAAAGAGGAAACGAAGAAAGTCAGGGAGGTGAGAAACTAGCATGTTGGGTGCTTGTGTCTGAACTTGTGCATTTTTCACCGCCTGCCTGGCTAATCTCCAAGGTGTTGATGTTTCCAGGCTATTTATGCGACTGGATGTCTAAGTCCTAGCAGTGCAGATTGGAAGATCATGTATCACCCTGCTAACATCTTGGTATTGGAGCTCAGCGAGAACGTTGGAGCAGCTACTTGGCTAGTTAGAAAGTCTAGGCAGGAATGAATGAACTAGCAGAAGGTTGTGTACAAATATGAAACCCTAAAGGGGCTATACCCCATATTGGCTACCCCACTACAGCCTACACATATATAATTTGACACACCCCCATAGGCAAAGTGGGGGAGAGCAAGGGGTCACAAGACCAGTCAAGAGAAACAAAACAAGCTCAGGGTGGATCACAACGTCACCACACACACTGAGCACAAACGAAGGGCCACAAGGCCAGTTCACATGCAAAGGTATATATGCAACAACAATAGCACAGTGATCACTACCTAGCAAAAGCAAGTATGCAGGTGTATAAATATAGATCACAGTACAGGCAAAGTCTACAGCAAGTGCGGAAAAGTAGGCACAAGGCCTAACAAAGTACAAAAGCGCTGATGATCACCAAACGGAAGTGCCTTGGTGAATATATCAGCAGTGTTGGCCCGAGTGGCCACGTGAGTAAGACGAAGCTGACCACGCTGCTGCAACTCTCGAGCCAGGAAGTAACGCAGAGCGATGTGCTTCGTTCTGTGCTCCAATCTGTGCTCCTGACACAAGGCAATGGCAGCCTTGTTGTCGACGTACAGAATTGGAGGAGAACGAGGCCTCTCTCCCAAGTTGGTCAGCAGGTAGGTGAGCCAGCGTAGCACCTGTACAGCCATGGCTGTGGCGTAGATCTCAGCCTCACAACTGGAGCTGAGAACAGAGCCGGGGCCAAGGCTGAAGGTGTAACCCTGTGACGACCGCTGCGTAGCCAACGTCAACCCAAGACGCGTTAGAGTGTCTCGTGAGGACAATGTCACCCCATCCTCCAAGCACGAGCCCCATGCCCGATGTACTGCACAGGTAGCGCAGTACCCTCTTCGCAACATCCATGTGCACCTTTCGGTGCTGACCAGGAGCCACGTAGCGTGCCAGAAGGCCAAGAGGGTACGCAAGGTTAGGACGAGTGCAAGTCATCAGGTACATGAGGCAGCCCACTAGCTCTGGGTAAGGACCACTCGGCTCTACGGACTCATCCGAAGGTGGAGCTGAGAGCGAGTGACCTATAGCCAGAGGAGTGGACTGTGAGGAGGACCAGGTGAAGCCAAAGCGCTGAAGGACCTGCTGCACCATGTGTGACTGAGTCAGTGTGATGGTGCGACGTGCTCGGTCCCGGGTGATCTGCAAGCCAAGGTAGCTGCG